ATAACGTGGGGGAGTTCTTAAATCCCTGTGGCAACCGGGTCCATGTCAACTGTGTCTTTACCGCCGTATGCGGGTCTTCCCATTCAAAGGCAAAGATAGGTTGGCTGGCTGGAGCTACCGGGATGCAGAAGAAGGCGTCCTTTAAGTCTAGGCATGTGTACCAGGCGGCGGTTGGCGGGAGTCGGCTCAGTAGGGTGTATGGGTTCGGGACTACCGGGTGCAGTGTGACGACGGCTTAGTTTACCACCCGGAGGTCCTGCACTGGACGGTACCCTGTTCCGTCAGGTTTCTTGATTGGCAGGAGCGGGGTATTCCACGTTGATTGACAGGGGACCAATATACCCTCTTGGAGGTGCTTTCGGATGACCTCCGATATTCCTAGGCGGGCCTCCCTTGAGATAGGGTACTGTCGCTGGCGGCACGGTTTAGCCCCCGGTTTGAGTTCAATTATTACTGGGACCTGGTTTCTGGCTAGTCCAGGGGGATTGTCCTCGGCCCAGACCGTGGGGAATTCCTGCAGCAGGTTGTCTCTAGCCTCAGGTCTGGGGCCATGGTCACCAGATTCCCCAGAATACAACTGGTATTCTTCCTCTCGTGGCAAAATGAGGGCCATGAGCCTAGGGCCGTCCACTTGCAGCGAGGCCTCCCCTGACTGCTGGAAGGTGATTCGAGCTCCCAGCTTTGATAAGAGGTCTCGCCCTAACAGTGGGACAGGGCATTCAGGTAGGTATAAGAACTCATGTCTAATCTGGTGGCCTCCCAGATCAACAATTCGGGCCTGGCAGAAGCGTTTTGGGCTACTTGGCTGACCAGTGGCCCCTACGATGGTGACTTCTCGTCCGGATGGGGGAGCTACAGGGGTGGTGACGACCGAGTGCTCTGCCCCAGTATCTACCAAGAAAGAGAGAGTCTGGCCCCCAGCAATCGCTTCGACCATGGGCTCATGGGGGCCTAGATTCAGGGAGCCCGGTCTTCCTCATTCTGAGTCTAGGCCCGCCAGGCTAAGGATGGTGGGCGCCGGCTCAGAGGGCGCCGGACCAGCCTTCTTTTTCCGGTGCGGGCATTCTCTTTTCCAATGTCCTCTTTCCTTACAATAGGCACATTGGTCTCTCTCTACCTTGGCGTGCCCTTTCTGGTCTTTCGGTCCCCCTTTGCCTTTTGCTGCCGGCTGACTGAGGGCGGCTGCTAGCAGTGCGGCCTTTTTCTCTAATCTTTTCTGGGCTGCCTTCTCAGCGGCCTCCTCCCAGTTATTGTAGACTTTATTTGCTACCTCAACCAGCTGACTGATGTTCATGCCTGCAAAGCCCTCTAGCTTCTGGAGCTTTTTGCGGATGTCAGGGGCCGATTGGGAGACAAAAGCAGTGTTTACCATTAGCCGTGTATCTGGGCTTTCTGGGTTGAAGGGGGTGTATATCCGGTAGGCCTCTAGGAGCCTTTCTAAGAAGTCCCCGGGACATTCATCTGGCCGTTGGACAACACTGGCCACCTTTGACATATTGGTCGGTTTTCTGGCCCCAGCTCTGACCCCCTGGAGGATGGCTTCCCTGTACCGGTCCAGGGCTGCTCTTCCCTGTTCGGTGTTGTGATCCCAGTCGGGTTGGGTCTCTGGGGCTGCCACCCGAGCGTACTGGGCTGGGTCTATTGTGCCCACTGGAGCGTTGGCTTCTAGATATCTCTGGGCCTCCTGGAAGACTCTGCGCCTCTCTTCCGTGTTAAAAAGGGTTAGGAGCAATTGGCGGCAATCGTGCCACGTTGGCCGGTGAGTTTGCATAATGGACTCCATTAGGTCTACGAGTGCCTGGGGCTTCTCCGAATATGAGGGGGTGTGGTGTTTCCAGTTCAAGAGGTCAGTCATGGTAAAGGGCTGATAGTAAAACACGACCGGTCCCGGGTATAAGGTCCCATCAGGCCCCGTTCGTGGCGGGCCCTGGGTCTCCCGCAGTGGCATCTGGAGGAACTGGTGGTGTCTTAAGTGGGAGGCGATAGGAGATTCTGGGGGTGCTGTTGCCTTGGGCTGCGGGGGCGAGACTGAAGGGGGCGGTGTTTCAGGCGCCTCTGCCTGACTTCCCAAGTTCCTAGCTGGGTAAGGGGGAGGCTGCACCGGGGGGTCTTCCGGGCTCCCCTGGCTCGCCCTCCCGTAGCGCCTAGGTGACGCGGTTTGACCCCCTCACCCTTCCGGAGCCAGTCGGGCATCTCTTGCGCTAGCTCCTGCCACTTTTCTATGTAGAGGAATTGGTTTGGGTGTCCTGGACTTCCTGTGACTATGAGATGGACAGCCCTAATTATGTCTAGGTCAAGGGTTCCTTCAGGAGGCCAGCCTACCCCGAACGTGGGCCACTCAGCGGAACAGAAAATTTCTAATTGCCTCGGATCCATATCGGGCTGCTGGCCCCGGAACCGGTCGAAATTCCTTAACATGCAATCTAAGACGGTAGACTGTCTGCCCCCCATGATCCCTCCCGAAACGGCGCAGACAAACGGGGGCAGCAGGGATACTTTCACTTTCGCCCGCCTGGCCTCTCCTCTCGCGAGGGACTTGGGTCTGTCTTAGCTAAGGCTGCCCGAGTAGAGTCCGGGTTAGCTTCCCAGCCGTTATGCCGTATGACAGACCGAGGACCCGCAGGTTAGGGCTCACTCAGACTCCGTAGCCTCGGGGAACACCGCTGGCCTGTGGAGCCACACAGTCAGTCACTCACTCAATCACACAGAGGTTAACACTTTCCCTCCCGACAGGGAAACCGTGCCAGAGGCCAGTCGGCCTGAGAGGTGATCAGCCTCTCCTTCCACCACTTATAGGTGGGTCTGATTCAGGTCTGGTCCCCGGGGCACTTACCAATCTGGCGCCTTCAGGTAGGCTTGGGTCCGCTCCCCGAGTGCCCGGGTTATGGAACGGCCCGAGGTCGGGGCCAAGGGGAGCCCAGCCCCTCGGGACCCGAAATCACCGGGGCACGTGCTTCCCTCTGGAGTCCGGGCTCGCCCGGCCGACCCCAGCCGTCTTCACCGGAGGCAAACGGCCTGCTTGTGTGAGTCGTTTCCCGGTCAGGGAACCAAATGTACGGAAAGCCAGACTCAAGACACGATTCAGGGAACGGAGTAAGCCTTTATTCACACGCGCGGGCTCAGAGGAGGCAGTCTACAAATTCTGAGCCCCGAATCGGGGTTAGATAGGGGTTTATAAGCCCTAGCATTCCGGCGGGAAACGGATGGGCTTCCCAGGTGGGGGAAGGAATTAGCATTCAGGTGGGAGATTGATGTGCTACCCAAGGCGGGGGAAGGGATGTGAAAACGGGCTACAGAAGCAGCTAAGCAATGATTAACAGTTAACCTGGGAGGGGGTCTCTGGCTAGGCTGCTCCTCCCAACTCATCTTGCCCTTATCACAAGAAACTCAAAAACAGGCAGCAGTAAGTTATGGCATAAGGATAAGTCAAGATAAAGTTGCCTTAGGGGAGGAGGGATGGGGCAAAGGCTTCTAGGAGCTGGGAATGTTGTATTTTTTGATCGAGGTGGTGATTACCTAAATGTTCACTCTGTGATAATTCCTTCGGCTCTACTCAAAAGACTAAAAAATTCAGAAGAAAAAAGTCATGAGCTTTGGAGAAGTCAGGCCTGGATTGGAATCCTGGGTCAGCCCCTTAGCTGTGGTAACCTCAGATAAGGCACCTAACTCTTGGAGTTTCCATTTCTCTGTAAAATAGAGATAATAAGATCACTCTTAAACAGACCTATACATTTAACTAGATAACTACTATCATACCTGAAATACAGTAGAATGAAATAAGCCTTTATAAATGTGACTTATTATTAAGTATATCAGTTAGAAATTACTTTGTCTACAAAGTAATGGAAAACCTGACTAGCCATTGCTAAAACAAATAGGTGGTTAATTATCTAACCAGAATTCTGGAGGATATTGGCTGCAGGGATTGACTTTTCTGTGATGTTTTTGTTATTGTCTCTTTCCTGATGATCACAAGATTGCTGCCATAGTTCCAAGCATTTTATCATACCAATGTCCTTAGCAAGAAGAAATAGGCAAATGAAAGGGGCTTGCCTCTTACCAGGGGTAAATTTGCCCTGGGATTCCTCCCCAGACTGAATACCCTTTCACATCTTGTTGCCTGGAACTAGTCTTGTGGCCAGCTATAGAGAAAAATTGGTACGCAAACTCTGGGGAAGTGGAATGAGATGGTCATGACTGGCCTGACTAAAAGTTTTCAACTCTGGCTATATAGCAGAATCACCTGAGTGGTATTAAAAATGTAAATGTGTTTAAGTGTACATATATATAAGTATATGTATGTATATTACATGCATATATATACATGCCTGGGCCCCACCACAGACCAAGTGAATCAGAAACACTGGTCGTGATTTTATCAAGAAATCAGGTTGAAAATGAGTGCAACAGTTCAAGACCCAAGCTAGGACTGACATCTGGGCCAGGCACATGTTTTACATAGGAGCTTATGGTAATAAGTTTACATATAGTATTGTAAAGATGACAACGATAATGTTCTTTTGAATGCCTACCTCATGGAGCCCATTTTATTTATTATACTTCTTCCTCCCTGACATAATCCATCTCTCCACTGGAATGTCAGCTCCATGAGGTGAGAATCTTTGTTTTGTTCACTGTACCTAGAACAGGGCTGGCACTTAGGAGGTGCTTAATCAATATTTGTTAAAACAGATGAAGTTATGTTCCATGCACTGTCTCATTCAGTCCTCCCATCACCCCTTTGGGGTTATGATACTGTCATTGTACCCATTTCACAAAAGAGGACACTTGAGGCTCAGAGATTGGAAGTCCCTTGGTCAAGATTACACAACCAAGACGCAGCAAGTTGATATCCAAGTCCAGGCTCAGGGCTTCCTGGCTCTAGAGCCCAAACTGTTGCCCATCACGCATGTCGCTTTGAGAACAGGACACCCTTACATGTTCTGATCCTTCCCTGGTTCCTGAGAGCCTCCTAATCATCCCTCCTCTCCCTCGAACAGCTCATCACCCTTCGGGGCTCCATCCTGGAGGATGCCACACCCACAGCCACAAAGCATGGGACTGGGCGGGGCCTGCCCCTGAAGGATGCCCTGGAGTATGTCATCCCTGAGCTTAACATCCACTGCCTGCGGCTGGCTCTCAACACTCCCAAGGTGACGGAGCAGCTGCTGAAGCTCGACGAGCAAGGGGTGAGCTGGGGCCAGGACAGGGGTCACTGGGGCACAGCCAGCCACCCCACTCCTGGTACTTCTTTCTGTCTTGGTCACTTTTTTTTTCCCCCAAAAAACCAGAAGCCAACTTAAGCTAATTTCAGTAAAAGGAGCAATCTGTTATCAAATTCTGAGCATGCCAAGAGCTGTAATGTGACTGGGTCTCAATAGTAAAAGGGTCTGGGGATGAGAGGTGTGTGTGTATGCATGTGTGCACACGTGTACGCTTGTATTCCCTTCCTCTACATACTGGCTCCCTCTCCTTCTCTGGTGCTTCCTCAGCTCCCAGAGTTGCTGTTAGAATTATAGCCACTTGCAGAGACCATCTCACTGATTCTCAGCCCAGGAGTATCTCTGCCTGGCCCACACTTAGATCAGGTGCCTGTCCATGGTCCAGTCACCAGTGACCAGGACAATGTGTAGACAGATTAAAAATAGGAGGCATGGACACCTTGTCATGCCTCTCTGGAATAGGAAGGAGGGAGGAGGACAACTGGAACATGTCTCTATGCCTTTTTCCTTCCTCTGGCTGTGGCGTTACATTCCTGTGTGACTTCAGCAGCTTTCTGGGCTCAGTGCCTGAGAAAGCCCCCTTTGTTCTGTTCCCTCTGACATCTCTTTCTGACCTACATCCATAAAACCACTCTCACCTCTACAGCTCTCCCGGAAACACAAAGTGGGCATCCTCTACTGCAGGGCAGGCCAAAGCTCAGAGGAGGAGATGTACAACAATGAGGAGGCTGGCCCCGCCTTCGAGGAGTTTCTCACCCTGCTTGGCGAGAAGGTCTGCCTAAAGGGTTTCACCAAGTACGCTGCCCAGCTGGATGTCAAGAGTAAGTGGCCTGGTGGGGGGGCCAGTTAGATGAGGTGAGCCACCCCTGCACACCTACTCACCCACCTGATGGACAGAAGTCAGAAGGCCTCGTGATGCTCAGATGAGTACACCAAGCAGTGCGAGCTCTGGGTCTCCACTGGTGGGAGTGCAGGTAGCGCAATCACTTTGGAAAACAACACATTATATTCTTGTTAAGTCTGAAAATTCACCAACTCTGTGTCTCAGCAATCACACTGCTAGACATGTTCTCTGAGAACTCAAGCACATGCCTGTTGGGATGTGTCCTGTATACTCATAACTGCAGACCCCGGACAGTGCCCAGTGTACACAGACAAAACTGTGGTATATTCACACAGCAGTGTGCTATGTGGCCATGACAATGACAAACTGGTGCCACAGACATTGGCTTGTTTGAGTGTGGTCAGTAGGTCTCAGAAGAGTGGGTACTGAATGATGCCTTTTGCACAACAATTATTTTTAAAGCACACTCAATATTGAGTATTTGGAGGTATGTTCTTATGTAGTAAAACTCTAAAAAACAAAGCAATTGTAGATACGATGTTCAGGATAGCTGTCACCCCTCTATAGAGAGTGTGTATATAATTGGAAAATGATTAATTAATATTGTTGATGGTCTGTTGCTTAAGGCAGGTGGTAGGGCCAATATATGTTAGAGCATTCTCTGTACATATACATACATAAGTATATTTGTGCACAAAGTATGGGATTGCAGTGATTCATGATAAGCAGTTTGGGGCGGGCCGCAGAGGGTGACATTGTGAGCTGGCATCACGGCTCCTGGGGAGAAGACTACCCATTGACTTTGGGGGTGGGCTGTCATTGAGTTAATTGCTCAGGCTGAGTCAGAAGATCTCAAGATGGGGCCCTGGCTTGCTCACTGACTCTTTTCTTTGCCTTACCAAGCCTCAGTTTCCTCTTCTGGGAAATGGAGGCCGGGATAAAGAGACCAAGCTTAGAGGGATGGCGCATGAGTTCAGTAGGTGCCTGCAGCTATCATTATCATCACCTTCACCTCCTCCATTGAAGGAAGTGGCATGAGGAATAAGCATCTTATTGTGCCAATTGCTGGTTTTGTGGTCTTGGCTTTGCCTCTCTCTGCCTCAGTTTCCTCATCTGTAAAGTGACAGTAATAACTGCATTTACCTCAGAAGCACTGTGTTGAACCTAACATACTGTGCTCTCACTCTGCATCGGGCACTGGACCTATCCAACCTCCCAGAGAGCCCTGAGGGTGGATGTCACCTGTGGTGTGCTAATGGGGCACACGCCTCTCACCACCGCCTGGCACCCAGGAGGCCCACAGCAGTGCGAGCTCTGGGTCTCCACTGGTAGGAGGTAGCACAATCACTTCGGAAAACAACACATTATATTCTTGTTAAGTCTGAAAATTCACCGAGTGTGAGTGTTAGCATTGTGGTTCTGTTGGTGAACCGTTGAGGGGGCAGTACACTCGAAAGAATAGGAGATTCGTTATCCCCCTTCTTAGACAAATGCCTGCTCCCAAATCTCAACTTCCTCTACTAAGTGAGAGCCATAATCTGACCACCCGCCCCCCACGCCTCCACTGGCTTTTTCTGAGGACCAGATGCCCAGCACAGTGCCTTACACATGATTAGTTCTCAAATAAATATCAACTGCCGAGAGTCATTGCAATGTGACTTTGGGCAAGTCACTCCCCCTCTGTGCCCCAGTTTCCCCTTCTGAAACATGGAGCCAGTAATAAATTGTGGTTCTCCGTGGTTATAATCCCTTTCAAATTAGAGGTAACCAATATCCTGACTCCAACAATTATCCTTTTTTTCCCCCATAGTTTTGCTACCTATATGCACACATATTACATAATATGTTTTGCCTGCTTCTGAATGTAATGTGAATAGTCATACAGTTTGTGGTCCTTTGTGCTGGCACCTTTAATTCAGCATTACGTTCTTGGGATTCAACCATGTGGTGTCTATGACTCATTCCTTTTCATGGCTGCGTATTTTTTCACAGTATGAATATGCCAGTTTGTTTATCCATTCTTTTGACTGACATCTGAAGATACTTGCACCTGTATCCCAGGGCACATGTGTATAATCATCTAGACTATGATCGTACGAGAGGAAATACTAGGTTATCCATTAAGCCTACCATCAGGTTCAATAGATATTGCTAAAAAATTTTTCCCAAGTAGTTGTACCAATTTACACACCTAACCAGCCACATAAACGGTTCTAGTTGCTCCACATCCTCACCCACCCTTTTATTGTCAGACTTTTACATTGTTACCAACCTGGTTGGTGTATAATGTAAGGTTTCCTTTTTATCTAAACGTATTTAATTTTAAGGAGTGGAGTTAAGTGAAAACATCAAGTTAAAAACTGGCACAGATGGCATGTGGGAGATGGCAAAAGCCCAGAGATTTTGGAAACATGGTACTAACTGGTGTTTCTGTTTCAGCCGACTCCACAGGAACCCACTCCCTCTACACAACGTACCAGGACTATGAGATCATGTTCCATGTCTCCACCCTGCTCCCTTATACCCCCAACAACAGGCAGCAGGTCAGTAGGGTCCAGGGTGGGGGCCCCACATGATTTCCAGCTGATGCATGGACCCCAAGGCACTCTCTCCCCAGGGCTGTTAGTTGGTATCATCCTGTGCAGCAGTTGGAAGCCTTTGACCCTGGACCCTCTGCACCATCATTACATCACCTGGGTCAGGTGTTGTTTAATATTAGTTTTTTCTTAGCTGTTTCTTTGGCCACCCTGCTGGCCACTAACTACCCCAATTCTTCTCAGTGGTCTCTTGATTCCTCGGGGATCCTATGGGGGAAAGAAAGTGAATCAGTCAACATTATTTCAACTGCAAGTGACAGAAGTGGAAACCAAACTCACATAAGCAAAAACTGGGGTATACTGCATTATATATTTCTCAAGTGCTGGGAAAGTACAAACTTTATGTATGGCTGGATCCAGGCACTTAAACAATGTTAGGAATCCTTTTCATTCTTCACCTCTGCTTTTCTTCATAGTGGCCTTATTTATAGGTCTTCCCAAGTAGTGGCAAATAGAGCTGTGCCTTCCATGTGTCCTAGAAAGATTTCAGAGTGAATCTCATTGGATCATTCACTTGCTGGTCCCTGGACCTAGGGTGGGGATGGACTGGGCTGACTGGCCAAGCCTAAAGCACATGCCCACCCCTAGAGAGAGTGAGTGGGGTCAGGGAGGTGCTTTCCCAAAGTGGATAGCTGTGGCTGCCAGAAGAAGAAAGAGGTGCGGTGCTGGGTGGGCAACAACATCTAACGCCTGCTGCCAGGAGGCTCCTCTCCTACACGTACCATGCAGACTTGGTCCAGGAGCACGTCTCCCTAGTTTCTAATGAACAGAAACCCCACAGACTTTCAATGGTTTGGGAAGGGTTTTTTTTTTCAGTTGGTACAGGTGGCAGTGTAGATGTTACAGGCCAAAAATGGTCACCTCTAAGTGAGTGACTTCATAAGGTTAACCTAATGGCCTGCTACAAGAGCATTGGCCTCAGAGTTAGACCTAAGTTTGAAGTCTTTCTTTGCCCCTCCCTTGCAGTGATCTGACCTCTCTGAGCCTCAGGTTCGTCCTCTGTAAAAATGAATGGAACGATAGCACCCATGTCTCAGGGTCACTGGGAAAGGTCCGTTCTTGCATGAAACCAGAGATGAGGTCAGGCCTGACAAGAGGAGCAGAGGAAGCTAATACCTATTCCTGGATATTTGGGAGGAGTAGTAGGGAAAAGCTTGGGTTTCAGAATCAGGCAGAAGTGGATTTGAATTCTCTGTCTTTCCCTCCATGACTGTGACCCAGGACAAGTCATGGAACCACTTGTAAGCGTAAGTTTTCTCATCAGTAAAAGGGAGAAGGATGAGTTAACGCCATCGAGGATTGCTGAGAAGAATAAATGAGATTGCAACTTTAAGATGTGTGTATAAAATACTAAATGGGTACTTTATCTAGCAGTTTCATTTAATTCAGTTTAAAACACACAGTAAGAACAAATAGTGTAACAAAATAATGTGACTCATGCTGCTAGGTGTGTCTGGATTTCACACAATGGACCACCTCGCATAGAACTAACTATACATGGCTCCAGTCTCTGGATTCCTAACAGTAAGGTGAAGGTTAAACTTGTGTAAATAAGAACAGTGTGATTTCACCAAATAAGTAAAATGCCACAAAAAGATCATCGCCTGCAAAGGTAATAGAGTCTTCCTCGGACTCATAAGTATGGGAGAGAGTACACGCCTCCCATAGGCCAATATGAAGCCTCAGCTGCCCATCTTCTCAACTCGGGAAAGGGGCAATGGCCTTGGATTGGCCCTGCAGGCTGTCTCCAGTCTGCCACAGCCATCACCCATGAGCTTGGCATTGAACAAGTTGAAGGCTGCCAGCCCATGCTGCCCTCCAGTAGATGTTCCTCAATCACCTACTGTGTGCTGGGCACTGAGAATAAAGCAGTGGACAGGAAATGAAACAGACAAAATCCCTGTTCACATGAAGTTGACACATTAGTGGAGAGAGACAGACAAGAAACAAAAGGAAGAGGGAAAAGCTGCTGTTAGCTAAGTGTTGATAAATGTTAAATAACAGGGACAGAAGATCAGAGATGGAGGTGTTGAGGGGATGATATCTTGGTTAATAAAGTTAGCAAATCCTCCTCAGAAGGATGACATTTCAGCCAAGACCTGAAGGAGGGAGGGAGAGAGGCACGTGGGGATCTGCAGGATCTAGGCAGAGGGAATAGCCAGTGCTGAAGCCTTGAAGAACTCTTTCTGGTGTGTTTGAGGAGCAGCAAGAGGCCAGTGTGGCTGGAGCAGAGTGAGCAAGGGGGAATGTAGATACAGATGTCAGTTGATGGAGGCAGATCGCATGGAGCTCCCTGGGCCATGTGGGGACTTTGTTCTTCACCTGAGTAAGAAGGTCTCTGAGCAGGGAGAGATGTGATAGACCCAGGTATCCACAGCTCCCTCAGATTGTGGGATGGGTGGGAACAGGGAGCCAGTGAAGAGTCCTGCTGTGATGGTCCAGGCAGGACCCTTGAGCTAAGCTGACCTATGATGCTTTTCTCTCCCACTGTTTCCCATCTACCAGCTGCTACGGAAGAGGCACATAGGAAATGACATTGTGACGATCATCTTCCAAGAGCCAGGGGCTCTGCCTTTCACCCCCAAGAACATCCGCTCACATTTTCAGCACGTCTTTATCATTGTCCGAGCTCACAACCCCTGCACTGACAATGTCTGCTACAGGTACGCACCTCTATGTGTGTCTCTGGGGAGCCACCCAAGGGATTGCCCCACTCCACCCCCTGCACACACAAAGAATCCAAAAAGCTATTTCCAGCATCCGGGCCGCATGTGGAGAGAGGCAGTGAGCAGACAGCTGGCTCAGGCAGGCCGCCTCCTGTGTTTTTTGTCTGTGCTTCAGTAGGAGAGCTCTGTCCGCACACTCCTACACCTTCTAAGAAAATGATTATCAACCACAAAGGGGCATGGCGCCCCAGGTTTGATAAGGAAGCCATTAGAATTATGTATTTTCCAGAAATCTTTTGCAAGTGACAGAAAACCCGCCTCGACCTGGCTTAAGACAAAAAAGCAGTTGTATATACTGGCTCTCAACAAATGACAGGTTCAGGCCTAGCTAGATCTGCCCCACTTGCCTATATGTTGCTTCATTTGCTGGCAGCTTTGAGCATAACTTCTTCCAGCTGCAAATTCAGCAAAAGAATAGCTTGCCTTTCCCAGGAAAAGAAGCTCTAGAATTGAGGCTTGTTCACCTGGCTGGGGGGTTAGGTGCCCATCCAAGAGTAAAACCACCAGCCACACCTAGGCAGCAGGTGTGTGTACTGAAAGAGGCACAGGAGTAATGTCTCAAGGGAAAATTAGAAGATGGAAGAAGAGAGGCAGGACAGGCAGAGACCCCCCTCAGGAGGTACCGCTTGAGCATTTTAGTTTAAAAATCAACAACTGACACAGGCCTCAAACCCATCCATATCTTCCCCAAGTACACCAGTTGTCACCCCATCCCCAAAGGCCAGATGGAATGCTCTCTGGGTGTGGGGCGAGGATAGAGCTATGGTTCTTGAAAACCAGCCCATCAGTAGGTCAGGCCCCGGCTGAGATCAGCACTTGACCCTGGAGCAATACTGCAGACTCTGGGAAATGGGCCGAGAAGTATTATTATTTTGTCTTTTGAAAACTGGTTGAAATTCAAATGATACAAAATGTAAAATTAAAAAGTAAAGAAAGATCCAAGCCTCCCACCTCTAACCCCAAACAACCCAGTGGCCCTCACAGAGGCAACTCCTGGTACCAGTATATTATGCATTTTGATATTTTGTGCACATACAGGCAAATAGTTACAAGTATTCCTTTTCCGTTTTTTAATACAAATAGTAGCATATCACACACACTGCCCACATCTTATATTTTTCCACTCAGTAGTCCTTGAGATCTTTCCAGACAAGTACACATAGTGCTTTTTTTCCTTACGACTGTACAGTATTCTATCATATGGATGCCTGAGACTTCCAGTATCCCCTGTCAAGGGCCATGTTTCCTGTCACTTGCTATTACAGTCCGTCCTGCAGTGAATAACCTGTTTATACTCTAATTGCCCATGTGTCCAAGTATACAGCTGGGTAAATTCCTAAAATGGAGTGACCAGGTCAAAGGAAACGTGTATGTGCACTGGTAGCCTTGGTGGAATTGCCAGAGTCAACCAGTTTCTTCTCAGCCAGGTCTATGAGAGAAGGAAGGGGGGCACTAGTGTGCAGCACTTGCTGTTAAGGACCACTGTGCTGGTTGAGCCCAGGCCTGAGCCCCTTCCCCACCCCCACCACTCCTCACTCATTTCCCAGGACATTCAGCAGCAGCAGCAGCAAGTGCCTACACCCTGTGGCTTGAGGTCACTCAGGTGATGTCCCATGTTCCTCATCAGCTGAAAGGTAGCTCTGGTGGGGGAAGATGGAGTTGTTCTTGTGCATAGGTGTGTACACACACTAAGAGGAGGAAGCAACCTTCTCATCGCACATCAGAGGTGGAGACTGAGCTATTGGATGGGCCCTTCTCCTTTTCCTCCCTACCCTGAGAGGTACAGAAAATGATGTAACAGATGCTCGTGTGTCTACCACCAGATTTAACAGATGTTAACATTTTGCCATGTTTGCTTCAGCTCTCTTCTCTTTTCTTTATTTTTAAAGAAAGAAAATGTTAGAGATACAACCAAAGCTGCACCCTTCCCCTTCTTTTTACTTCTTTCTCCCATAGGCAGCTCCTTTCTGGACAGACCTTACCCTGTCCCACTGTCTTCCTGAACACATTCTGTCACAGAGCTCATCACACTGTAAAAATGACTTACTGATGTGGCTCTTGACTCCCTTGAAGTCAGCCCCATATTGTACTCACTGTCACATGTTTACAGTGCTTGCCATATAGAGGATCCTAGAGACATTTTTGCTGACTGGACAGATGCCTGGCCCAAATGCTGTGGACATTGAGAAAATAGTTGTTGAATAATCGTGAATACTCTAGAAATACTTAACAAGCTATAGTGAGTAGGTGACCTGGTAGTCACCTGGTTGTACAGCAAGTTGCTATTCTTTCCCATTTCAAGTGTGCTCGCTCTTCATGGCATGCCAGCATCCCTGCAGCCTTTGGACTATGAAAACCCAGTCCCTCCTGCTGGGAAAGTGAGGGTGCAGCTGTTCTGATTGTCCAGAAACCTTCAGCAGCTTAGTTTCATGCTTCTTAAAATCATGAACCAGGACCAAGACCGTGGGAAAAGCCAAAATCTTTCATTATAAGCAGCCAAGTGCTGCTGAATGAAGAAGTTGCAAAGCTGTTCACATCTGTAAAGCACAGTCTAAATGCACCATTAATCAGAGTACCGTTAAACTGGTGACATCATCTCCTCCATCCTTCTGCCTGGGGACAAGGACATGCCCACAAGGTTTCCCACAGAAGAAAACCTGTGCGGCCTCTGAAGAACCTCTCCACTGGGAAATGCCTTTTTCTGTCAAACCTACACACACCATACATTGGTAGAAGTGTTTCTTCTCAGTCTGTCTATTCAAGATTAAATCCGTAATTTAGTTGAAATTTAAATCTTTAAATTACTTAAATCACTATTGAGCACCTGTGCTGGTGCTGAGGAATCAACTAAGCCCAGAGTGGCACCTGCCTATGTGGCCCTCCTGGACGTGGAGCAGGGTCGCTGGACAATGAACAGGGGAGGTGCAGAGCAAGGGGTCTGGCCTGATCGTAGGCATCATGCAGGAGCTCCCTCGACAGTCTGTACATGTTTTGGTCCCTTCCAGTCCTTGCTTCATAGGGCAGCCACAGTGATCCTTGTAGATTTTCAGCCCGGTTGTCACTCGTTGCTAGCACCTGCAGTAGGCACCCAGCAAAAAACATGTCCCCCTCAGGGTTTTAACTGAAGGGATTGATGAACTAATTACTAACAGTGTGGCTTGGTTAAGGGAACATGTACAGGAAAGTGAGGCATCCAGAGGCCAGAAGAATCAGGAAGTCATTACCCCACCTCCTCAGCTTGACCAGGTCTGAGGGAGATGGGAGAAGTTTCTGGAAGCTGGGGAAAGCTGTGGCTCTGGGAGAGGGGCCCCCCAACAGGAGCTATGGCTGTGAGTAAAGGACCAAGGACTACAGCCACTGCTGCTATCCCAGCCCGGTAGGGAGGCAGTGAAAAGAAATAAATACTCTACCCTCTCCTTTCACCTTCCATCACCTGCCTGTGCTTCTGTTGGCTGAACTCAACTGGAAGCCAGAGGGCATGGGAACACAGGTGAAAGTGACAGTCCATAGAAACCCACCTTCCAGGACACGAGCAGAGCAGAGAATGACAGCAACTGCATCAGGGGAATGGTGGCCCAGATGGTTAAGTGGTTGCTTGTTCTCATGACCAGGATGAAAAGTACTAACACACCATCAAGGCCCTGCTTGGCTTGGCCCCTGATGACCTTACCAGCCTCCTGCTCTTTGCTCTCTGGGCTCTGGCTCCCCCTGTACTCTTTCCTGATCGGCCACCTGCTGAACCCACTGCCTGCAGCAACCATCCCTTTTGCTCTTCCTCTGACTCCTACTCAGCATCAGACCCCAGCTTAATTGTCACGTCTTCAGAGAGGCCCTCCCAGATTTTCCATCCAAATCAGGTCCTTCTGTTGTTCTGTCATACCCCATTGTCTTTTTTTTTTTGTCTTTATAAGTTAATTTGTGAGTGTGTTTGTTTAGAATCTCTCTCCTGCCTGCTCAGAAGGGTAGGAATCCCTCTATTTCAGTGCCCAAGGGGGAAGGCATTCCAGGAATGGTTGTCAAATGAATGATGCACTGTTTACCTTGTTGGGTTGGGGAGAGGGGTTGGGAGTCAAAACCTGAACAAGCCTTACCTGGTGTTTGGAGTTCATGGAATATGTTTTAACTAAGAATCTCATTATTTTAAAAGTTATTTTACAGTAGGAAGAGAACAGTAGGAAGTCTTTTCTAACACCGTGCTCTTGAGGTTACTAGAGAGGCTAAATACAATACTCTAAGAAAAACTTAATGAACTTATTGCTCACTCACTTACAGCAACTTGTACCATTTTTTTAATCATCGTTATGTAAACAGCATAACTCATGGTGACTGTAGCCCCTTGAAATGTCTTTCAGCAAGAGCCATATCCCCTAGCCCTGGGTGATCACTCTGGCAGGTGCCATGGCCTATTTGCTTGATGTTAGATATTGCCCTTTAGCCACTGAGTCTCAACTCAATTTGGTCATCCGAATATCCAAAGATAGTCATCAAAATCTCCAAACTTAATAGCAAATCTTTTCCTCCATTGAAACTCAAGGCTGCTTCTGCCTGGAAGCCTTGGTGTTTGGGGAGCCTGCCTACCTCTTCTCTGTTTCTCCACCTTGCACTTCTTCCCCCAGCCCTGCTGTCAGCGTCTCACCTGTCCAGGGATGGAGCACAAGGTGAAAATGGGAGGCAGGAAAGTGTCACTGAAACTGTGATTGCATCTGGCTACATGCTCTCTGGGCTCCTCCCAACTATAAGGGTCACCTAGGAGGCCCCTAACTGGGGGGTATGGCAGGGGTATTGAAGCTCACTGCCCAGCTTTCTCCAAAGATTTTCTCCCGTTAGTATCCTCCATCTCATTATAGTTTGCAAAGTGGGCGAGGAGGTTCAGGAGTTTTAGGGAACCGGTTTTAGATCATTTCCTTTTTACATTCTCATTCAGTTGCTATCTGATTTCTATTATAGTGGCATCTTGGTCAGACCTGAAGTAGGGAGGGTCATTTTCAAAATCATTTGTTGAAATGATTTATATCAGTCAGGTATTCTGACTGATAAGCAATAATGCCGCTTAATAAACCACCCCAAAACTCGGTGACTCACATACATTGAGTTAACATTTCTTTCTGGCTCACATATTTGCAAGTCTGCTGAAGTCTGGTTGACTGTGGCTCCAGGCCATGGACAAGTCGGAAAAGACAAGTCGAGTAAATGTCTGTTGCAGATATCCCTCATCCTTCTGGGACCAGTAGGCCACTTAGGGCATATTCTTCTATGCCCTAAGGGCATATTCTGCTATGGCAGGAGCACAAGAAAGAAGCCCGGCCTCCTATCCCCCTGTTGCATGCCTGTGCTTGACAACCATTGGCCAAATCAAGTCATGTGACCAGGCCCAGGATAGATGAGGTGGGAATGGACCACCCCACAAAGGAGTGAATTTTTGCCAAACTATAATGTACCACACAGTTCATATGTTTGTAAAATGAGAATAATTGAAGTTGAACAATGCAGGAGAATTATTCTTTGAATATCAGTGGATATTCTAACATCCACTGTATAGAAAGTAAAAATGCATGTATGTACCCTAAGACTTTGTAAAATTTCCAGTCTGGTTAGCCAGCAGCTTGCTAATTACAGGTAGACTTCCATTCTTGAAAAGGTGAGTTCTATTTCTGATCACGTATTTTCTTTCTAAATGGAATCTCAAGTGCCTGTTACCATCTAAATGATTTCTCCCTCCTTAGTATGGCTGTGACCCGATCCAAAGACGCTCCTCCTTTTGGCCCCCCCATCCCCAGTGGAACCACATTCCGCAAATCTGATGTCTTCAGAGACTTCTTGCTGGCCAAGGTGATTAATGCAGAGAACGCCGCACACAAGTCCGACAAGTTCCGTACAATGGCCACCAGAACCCGGCAGGAGTACCTCAAGGACCTGGCTGAAAACTGTGTCTCCAACACACCCATTGATTCCACTGGCAAATTCAACCTCATCTCCCTGACCTCCAAGAAGAAGGAGAAGACCAAAGCCCGGGCAGGTGCTGAGCAGCATAGCTTGGGGGCCATTGCGTGGAGGGTGGCAGCTCAGGACTATGGCCAGGGGGTAGAAATTGACTGCATTTTGGGAATTTCCAACGAGTTTGTGGTGCTCCTGGACCTACGCACCAAGGAGGTGGTATTCAACTGCTACTGTGGGGATGTTATTGGCTGGACCCCAGACTCCTCAACACTCAAAATCTTCTATGGGCGTGGGGATCACATCTTCCTCCGGGCCGCTGACGGGTCTGTGGAAGACATCAGAGACATCGTTCAGAGACTGAAGGTAAGGGAAGGAGTTCAGCGAGGGCACAGCAGTCTGTGGTTTGGTAGAGGCGTTAGGAACCACTGAAATGCCTCCCCTAGTTCTGTCAGTTAGGCAAGGACCCTCATTGTCCACAGAGAATCAGAATTATTGCTTACATGCTAGGGATCTAATGGATCCTGTAGCCTAGGTTTTTTATGGGGAAGGTTTGGGCCAGGGATCTGAGCTGACTGGCATTACCTTGAGAGGACCAAGGGTGTAATTTATGCACTCTAGATCTTGATTGACTATATAAGTTTAAGCTTATGTTAAAAATATAAGGGTACTTTGGCTCTGGGCCAGGTAGCTCAGTTGGTTAGAGCATTATCCTGATAAACCAAGGTTGCAGGTTTGATCCCTGATTAGAGCACATACAAGAATCAAGCAATGAATGCACAAATAAGTGACACAACAAATTGATGTTTCTCTCTCTTTCTCTCTCTAAAATCAATAAAGAATAAAAACAATTTAAAAAAATGTAAGGGTACTTTCTAGAAGAATTAAAATAGAGTGAAAAGCTTCCAGGCCATTAAAGGACAGGGCATAAGCAGGGGTGGGAGGAATATAAGAAAGTATGATAAAAGAAACATAAAATTATATGGCAGGAATAATTCCATATCCATAATCACAATAAATGTGAGCAGTTTAACTTCCCCTATTAAGACAAATATTCACAGTCTGGATAGAAATTTTACTCTGAATCGGTGGGCAGCTCAGGCTCAAGACTGTTGGCCAAACCAAGTGTGTCAGATTGGTTTCAAAACAGAAGACAACTAACTTAGTAATGGCTGCTTGAAGCATTGTGCTAAGAAGTACGTAGGCCAATCCTGGCCAGCTGGGTAGCTCAGTTGGTTAGAGAGTCATTCTGATATGCCAAGGTTGCAGGTTTGATTCTCAATCAGGGCATATAATAAGCAGCAGCAATGAAAGCATAAATAAGTGGAACAACAGATCAGTGTTTCTCTCCTCCTCCTGTCTCTCTGAAATCAATAATTTTTTTAAAGTACTCTCTGATTACACTTAGGTTGGATTGGTGCAGCCCTGCTCTCAGCTTCCCTCACTTGCATAGGATTGGCATATTTTAGCTGTTCAGTCAATACTGATTAGTTGGTTAGTTGAATGACTTTATTGAACCCTGCCTCTGTGTTAATCATTTTACATGCATGATTTCACTATTCTCCACCTGCCCCATGGAGTGTAGGTGCTATTCTTTTTTTTTTTTTTTCCTTAAGAGGGGAAGGGAGGGAGAAAGAGAGGGAGAGAAACATCAGTGCATGTTTGTCTCTCATGCGCCCCCCACCGGGGACCTGGTCCGCAACCCAGGCATGTGCCCCAACTGGGAATCAAACAGGTGACCCTTTGGTTTGCTGGCCGGCACTCAATCCACTGAGCCACACCAGCCAGTGCTGTAGGTGCTGTTCTTATACGCACTTGACAGATGAGGAAATTGAGGCTCAGGAAGCTGTAGATACTCACATGAGGTCATGCAACCAGAAGATGGCAAACTAGGATCTGAACCAAGGTTTTTCTGACTCCAAAAACCAATTTTTTGCCTATACTTGAGACTGGTAAGCTATTGCTTACTCAGAATGTCCTATAAGGCCCTGAAACTTACCATGTTGAAGAACAAATTCCTGGTTTTCCTCCCTCTACCTCCCAGAGTTTTCCTGTCTCAGGAAAGGGGAAGTCTGGCACTCCATTTGTTGAGATCAGAAGCCTTGGCGTCAGCCTTGCTCCCCTCTTTCTCTCACACCCACATCCAGTCTACACCCACATCCAGTCTCTCAGCTCCACATCCAGTAGGCAGACTCCAGCTACTTCTCTCCATCCACAGCCTCCACCCTGGCCTCCCCTAGACTGTTGAGTAGCCTCCTCGCTGGCCCCGCTTGCCTTCACCCTTGCTGCCCTATGGTATGTTCTCAGCATGGTAATCAGAGGGATCTGATCATGTCAGTGCTCTGCTCAAAACCCAGGTTACTCTAGGTAAAGACGAGTCCTTACGGTGGCCCATGAGGTCCTGTACAGTAAGGCTCCCTGTCAGTCTCTCTGACCTTGTCTCCCCGTGACTGTCTCTGTTCCAGGCACAAAGATTTTTGATGTTTCCCCAGTGTGTTAGGCAGGCATCCAGCCTCAGGGCCTTTGTACAGCCTATGCCCTCTCACTGGAACACCTTTCCTGATCTGCACATAGCTCATTTCCTATCCTCCTACAGGCTTTTAGTCAAATGTCACCTTGTCAGTGAGGCCTTGTTATCTAAAATTGTAAACCCCATCTACCCACTGTCCGTGTTTTAATTTTCCCCATAACTTACCAAAATCTGAAGTATGTCTATTTATGTATATGTTGTTTACCACTGTGTCCTCAGCCCCTAGGCCAGAATCTGGTATGCAGTAGACAGTGAGCTTGTATTGAATGCATGCATACATGCCACCGTGTAGTAATAGCAAAAGTAGACATTTATGGAGGGCTCACTACATCAGACCCTGCTCAGCGCCTTGCATGACTTTGCATTTCTTTCTCAAAGAAACCCAGCAAAGGAGGGCCCTAGCTGCTGTGGCTCAGTTGGTTGGAGCATCATCCCATAAACTGAAAGGTCACAGGTTTGATTCCCAGTCAGGGCACATATCTAGGTTATAGGTTTGGTCCCCAGTTGGGGCATGTGTGAGAGGCAACCAATCATTGTTTCTCTTTCACATTGATGTTTCTTTCCCTCTCTCCCTCCCTCCCTCCCTTAAGAGGGCTCTCTTAAATCAATAAGCATGTCCTCAGATAAGATTTAAAAAAAAAAAAAAGACCCAGTGAGGGAGATACCATTATTATCCTCACTTCACACATGAGGAAACTGAGGCCTGGAGAGGTGTAGCAACTTGCCCAGGTGCTGAGTGAGTGAAATGCCTGGGTTCTTAAACATAAAGGTGTCCTTCCTCCCAAAATCTCGACAGCAGCTCACCCTTCTTGAGTAGTGACCATGCCAGCACTGCCAGATTACACACTTTACCCACATCCTCTCTGTGCCACTCCATCCTGTGCCCATCCCCGTGCCTGCTGTGGGTGCCATGTTTCTAAAGCACATTTCCACAGCTCCCCTCACCATCTCAATGCCTCAGAGCCCACTGAGGACCCAGGTGGCTAGGAAGTGATGACATAAGTCATCTTCCTTAAAGGGCAGGCCCATCTTAAACCACTCGTGACTGTGAGTCTCTCTTTGTAAAGTCCTTCGGGGTGAGGACTCCATCCCCGTTGGCCGAGGTGGGATTCAAATGTCTTCTTTTTCTTAAGTCAGCAGGTTTTATTATGTTCCTGGCCCTGGGCCAGGGAGTACTGGGACACTGCAGTGACCATGATGGACCCAGGCCAGCCCTCCTGGGGCTCCCATCCTAGGCAGATAGTGAACAGGAATTACAAGTGCCAGGAGGTTAAAAGGGAGAGTGTTAAGGGTGCTAAGGGAACTTGTCTTGGGGGATGGTCTCAAACCTTCAGGATGGATGCAGCCCCCAGGCACATTCAGTTAGGTTAAAGCTTAATTTTCAAGGGATTTCATGAATCTGTATCTGGCTTCTCTCTCCCTCTCTCTCTCTCTCTCTCTCTCTCTCTCTCTCTCTCTCTCATTTTGTTTAAATGGGATTTTTTTTTAATTGTTGTGCAGTTATAGCTATCCCATCTTTTTTCTCCATTGCCCTCCCCTCCTCCGTACCCCCTCCATTCCCATAGTCAATACCCCCACCGATTGTCCGTACCCGTGAGTCCTCTATTCATGTTCCTTGACTTGCCCCTTCCCCTTCTTTCCCCCATTACCCCTTCTTCTCACCTCCCCTCTGGTCACGGTCAGTTTGTTCTTTATTTCCATGTCTCTGGTTCTGTTTTGCTCACTTGTTTGTTTTGTTGATTAGATTCCACTTACAGGTGAGATCATGTGGTATTTGTCTTTCACCACCTGGCTTATTTCACTTAGCATGATACTCTCCAGTTTCACCCATGCTGTTGCAAAAAGTAGGAGTTCCTTCTTTCTTTCTGCTGTGTAGTATTCCATTGTGTAAATGTACCACGGTTTTTTGATCCACTCATTTGCTGGTGTGCACTTAGACTGTTTCCAGCACTTGGCTATTGTAAATTGCACTTCTGTGAACATTGGGGTGCACAGGTTCTTTTGAATTAGTGTTTCAGAATTCTTAGGGTATAATCCCAGCAGTGGGATCACTGGACCAAAAGGCAGTTCCATCTTTAGTGTTTTGAAGAAATCCCATGCTGTTTTCCACAGTGGTTGCACCAGTCTGCATTCCCACCAACAGCATACTAGGGTTCCCTTTTCTCCACATATTCACCAGGACTTGTTGTTTGTTGATTTGTTAATCATGGCCATTCTGACCAGTGTGAAGTGATAATTGTGGTTTTAATTCGCATTTCTCTGATGGCTAGTGATGTTGAACATTTTATCATTATCTCTCCGGCTTCTCTTCAAAAAACTGGGTGTGCATTTGCACAGGGCAGTGGTCAGCTGAAGCAGGTGGTGGGCACCCCCTTTAGATGGTACAGGAACACAGCATTTTGTCATGGTTCTACCTGCCTTCATCTCACATATATTAACCTACCAACCAACCTAGACTGTGAGCCTGATCCCCAGGGATGCAGAGGGGTAGAGCTCCATGAGGAATGGCTTTTATTCTGAGACTAGAGTAGTAAGAATCATACTGGTGAAGAATGAGTGGCAAAGAAACAAAAGAGGAAATTTCAGGGGGAGCAGCAGCGAATATAAAACAGTGGCTGAAAGCCCTGGGGAACTACCATCACCTCAGTTTCTGCACCTGTGAAATAAGCAAGTTATTTGTACCTACCTCATAAGTGATATACTAGTAAAATTGGGCATATAAAGGGCTTACACTGTGCCTGGCACACAAAGCTCAGTCCCCAGGAAAATGAGCTTTAAAAAGGGGGGCCTCAGGCAGTGTGGGCTGCATGACATGGCAGAGGTTTCTTTGAACTGATATGTGTGTTTGGGCTTATATGTTGTTCCCTCTGCCATGGGACCATTCTGGAACCTTGTAAACTTCAGAAATGGATCTCCCCTTTGGATGTTGCTTTCCTTCAATTTTTACAAAAGCAAAGGGGGCAGGCACAGTGGTTTCAGGACACTGAGACAGTTGCCCTACCAGCTCCTATCCAAAATGATCCAAAGCAAATGTGGTGAGTATTTGCAGACTGGGCCACTAGTAGCTAAGATAAGGTGGGAGTTTATTATTCTTATGGTTACCGCTCAGGCTGGTCAAGGCTGACAGGGACAGCGCAGGGACTCAACATCCCTTCCACCTCACAGGACCTCCTTTCCCTTCAGTGGCATACTTTTTCTGCATGATCACAGTAAAGTCACTCAATATCCACATCCCTTTCAGCTGGAAAGGAGATGGTGTGAGCATGGAGGGTAAGCAATTTTATTTTTAAAAACACAAGTACACGTTCCATTACTTTGACTCATATCCTCTTGGCCCAAACCAAGTCACATGTCCACACCCATCTGTGGAGAAAGCTGAGAAATGTGGTCCCTGGCTAAGTGGCGCTGTGCCCGTCAAAACTCTGACTTTGCCAGAGGGGAGGAGGGTGGTCTTATTACTAAAAAGAAGAAGGGAAGAATGGAGTCTGAAGGCAGTTAGCAGCCCTGCTGCAGCAGTGTCCAAGCTGCCCGGGCCTCTGCAGAAGGCTAGGCCTTCCGCAGGACTCCCAGGGCTGGTGTAGCCTAATTAGGCATGGGCACAGACATGGACACACAGACTTGTTTCTGTGACCCACAGCCAAATTGTTTGAACACAATGGTGACTGCTTCAAAGGGAAGAATTCTGGCTCCCAAGGCAGAAATAACAGGCTAGGGTAAATCCAGTCATACTCTCTCTTTTGAGGTACTAAACAGTTTTTTAAAGTTTTTGATTATGGAAAATTTCAAACATCCAAAGAGATAGAGGGGCTTACATAATGGACTCCCAGCCGCATCACCAGCTTCCACAGTCATCAGCCGTGCCAACCTGTGTCTTTGTTCCCTCTCCAATATTCTGTCATTTCATCTGTAAATATTTCAATATTTATTTCTAAAGCATACAGACCTTTAAAGTTTTATCATTCCATATGTAGAAAATTAACAATAATTTCATATTGTTATATAAACAAGTTGGGCTACGAAATCAATTACAGGTTTTCAATCAACAATCTTCAAGGATAGGATACAAAAGAATAGAGAGTATCAGAGTACATCCCAGTAAGTAAGGATATCCACTGTTTTGTAGCATTCCCATCTTAGATGTTCCCCTTGTTCCCAAATCCTCAGTGTCCAAATGAGGAACCAAACAGATGTGGTTACATTTTTAGGTAAGTCTACTCCCATTGAAATTCTCATTTCTTGCTTCCCATGGTCACACATATGATCGATTTGGATTGCAAGGAAGGTTTGTGTGTGTGTGTGTGTGGATGTGTGTGTACAGATGTGAATGCACAGTGTGCCTTGTGACAAAATTCTTTCTCACTGTGAGTGGTGGTCAGAAAAGTATAGAAGCCATCACTCTAATAGGCACATTAAATAGCATAATTGGTAGCCAGGGGTTGACCTCTCACAGGAAATATGAACCATTACACATTCTCTTTCCTAAGGCAATTTAAGAAGAGGGCAGACACATCTTGATGGAACTTGCTTAATAGCCATAGCTTGTTAAGTTCACCTTTTTATCCCAAGAAGAGGATGGAATCCCTGAGGACGTGCTGAAGGAGGAGGGTTTCTGTCCGATGGGTCCTCGCGTCTGTGGTAATACATTATCATAGTGGAAATCTCACACAAGTGAAGGAGAGAGTAAATTGGAGGCAAGGACCTGTGTGGTCTTGTCACCTTCTTGTTGAGGGACAATTGGAGGAGGAGATTGGAAAGGGGTTTGTTCCTCTAAGATTGATGTCATGAAATAAAGAATAGAGCGTGATTCCCATCCACCCCCAACCTAGATAAAATCCCAGGATCTCTGGTTTGTTGCTCCTCTGACTGACTTTTGGTTAGAATCATTTTATGAGCCAGGATTCAATATTCATGGCTTAAAATAACAAAAGTTCATCTCTTGCCCTCTTAGGTTCAGCTGGGATCTCTGCTTCACATTCTTCTAACTCTAGGACCCCAGCTGACCAAACAGGCACTATCTAGAATAATCCTGGTGGCTGTGGCAGAGGGTAAAGACCAATGGAGGGCCTCGCACTGGCAATTAAGTGCCCCAGACTAGATGACATGCTAATTCCATTCGCAGCACATTGGCCAGTAAAGTCCCAGAGCCTGGCTACCACAAGGAGGCCAAGAAGTGCTCTCTTGCCATACTGGGGAAGGAGGGGGGCAGGGGGTTTGAAAAAATGGCTTGGCTGGTGACTGCCACCTCTCTGTGAGATAGTAAGCCACATACTTGCATATCCACATTTCCTCTACAGAAGTCAGGAGCCAGGGCTGGGACTAGGTGGGTGTTTGTGCCCCTGGACCCTGGCATCACCTGGGAGGATAGAAGGTGATCAGCTGGGTCTTGGCCTCAAAGTGAGGAATCTAACCAGCAGTCCAGAAGAGCTAACCCCAAACAGCTTCTCAGGCTACATTCCACCTGTTACCTGCAGGTGATGACCAACGGCTGGGAGACAGTGGACATGACCCTGCGGCGGAATGGGCTCGGGCAGCTGGGCTTCCATGTGAAGTACGACGGGACTGTGGCAGAGGTAGAAGAATATGGGTTTGCCTGGCAGGCCGGCCTCCGGCAAGGCAGCCGCCTGGTAGAGATCTGCAAGGTGGCTGTGGTCACTCTGACCCACGACCAGATGATCGACCTACTGCGCACCTCTGTCACCGTCAAGGTGGTCATCATCCCACCATTCGACGATGGCACACCCCGGAGGTAAGGGCGTTCACTCTGCAAGGCAGGAGGTGGGTGGGGGTTGGCAGCTCCCAGAATGCTGACACAGGGCCTCCCCAGGGCTGTCATCTACGGCCCTTTCTCATCCAGAAGAGTGACAGTGGTGGTGGAATGGGAGTCAGCATCCATCAAACACATACTTTCTGCCAGTTATGGTCTAAGCACCCCATGTGTGTATTATCCCATTTCATCTCCACAACAGGCCCATGAGGTGGACAGCCTCAGCAGTCCCATCTTCTAGATTATGCGTGCTGTGTTAAAAGTAACTTGCCCCAGGGCACATTGCACTTCAGTGATTTGTTCTGCACACATATATTGAGACTCTACTATGTGCAAGCCCCAGGCGAAGTGCTCTGGGTAGAGCAGTGAACAAAATGCAGTGCCTGTTCCCTTGGGGTTTGTGTCCTAGAGGGAAAGGCAGGCAGTAATTAAGTAGGCAGGTAATATAGGATCAGGCAGCGATGAGATCTAAGAATAAAGTGGACTAAATGAAGGGTCTGCAGTGTGGTAGGAGAGCTGCAGACATAGTGGTCAGAGAAGGCTCCTGAGTTGGAGGTGGCCATCTGGTTTTCTGGACCAGCTGGTCCCAGACAGGGACAAAGTGGGAGTGTGCAGGACATGTTCCAGCAGCACAGGGAGGCCAGTGTGGCTGGAGCAGAGCGAGCAGGGGTGGGGAAGGGACAGAGAGGGGACAGGGGGACAAATTGAGGGGGGCTTTTTGGACACGGTGACAAGCTTGGTGTTATTCAGTAGGAAGCCAGGGCAGAGGAGTTTGTTCTTTTCATGCTGTTTCTTTTTTTTTTTTAATGGAATATTTCAAACATATTAAAAGTATACGGAGCCTGCTGTTTCAACATTTATCACCATGTGGCCAGAGTTTTTGTGTGTCTGTTTTGTTTTTTAATCTCCAGCGTCCCAACCTTGGACTATTTGAAGCAATCCCAGTTCTTGGATTGTATCGCTACCTGATCAGGACCTTTGAAAATCACTACTACACTTAAAAATTTTAATAATAAGTCAATATCAATTACACAGTCTGTCTTTAACTTTCTATCATATCAGAGAGATACTTTTAAAACACAGTAGTTTTGTTAATTAGGCTTTTCCTGTTGCATTTGGTTGATGTGTCTCTTCATACTCTTTTAATCTGTCAGTTCTCCTCTCTCTTATTTTTTTCCTTGTAATTTATTTCAGGAAGAAGCCAGGCCACTGTTCCAGGAGTTTCCAACTTGCTAGACTTAGCTGCTTGCACCCCCTGGTGTTCTTTAACCTCTTCTGTAGCACGTGTGTTTCCCATAAACTGGAGTTCAGTATTGACCAGATTCCGATTAAATCTTTTTTTGGTAACAACACTTCCCAGTATGTGTCCATCAGGAAGCCACGTGTGTGTGGCTGTCCCTCTGTGAGTGATACTGAGGGATCCGAGGGTTCAGACAGTGGCAACCTGACCTGTCATCATACACTTCTCCTCAGCTCTCAGCAGCCATCATCATTATTACCTAGATTCATTATTTTATTATAGTGGTGATATGCTCAGTGCTGTTATTTCTTCTTCATTTATTGGCTGTAATTCTTCTAAAAAGAACTCATCTTTAGTACCTATATGGTTTTTCTGAGATATAATTTATTTAAGGAAGGCAGGATAAATTCAATTTTTAGAATAATGAATTGGTACCCTAGTCACCTCCAAAGGTGACCAGAGGCAGAGAGAGAATCACTACATTCCAAGCTCTGGAAATGCCACACAGAGGACAGTCAAGGCCTTGGCCCTCAAGTAGCTAGTGAATAGATCAGGAGACAGACAGTAAACAAGTAAGCAAATAAGACGATTTCATACAGCAGAATGTGGAGCAGCCGAGTAGACTCGGAAGGTGGGCTCTGCAGTGAGATTGCCTAGGTTTGAATCCCAGCTCCTCCCCTTAACTGTAACTCTTGGCAAGTCGCCTCACCCTGCTGTACCTCACTTTCTCCGCTTGTAAAATGAGGATAATAGATCCTTTCCCCAAAGGGTGGTTGCGAGGTTGGAGGAAATAAGACTTGTAAAGCACATGGAACAGTACTTAGCCAGTAGGAGGCCCTCTAGAAACTAGCTGTGAGATACTGAGTGTGAAGAAATAAAGGGCATGACCCGACACTGGACAAGATGGTCAGGAAAGTGAGGAGGAGGTAAAAAAAGGATTGTGCAGGGAGGGAGTAGCCATCACAAAGGTGAGAACAAAGGCCCTCGGCTTGTTGACAAATTAGAAAGAGGGTGGAGTGGCTGGAGGAGAGTAAGCCAAGAGAAGGGCATGAGATGAGGTGACGCAGAATACTTATACACCTGAACTGCCAGGACTGGTGGAATTCCCCACTTTACAGATAAGAAAACTGAGCCCCAGAGTGGACCAGTCACTTGATGCAAACTTGTACAGCAAAACTCAATCCAGATTTACCATCCCCATACATTCTACTGCCTCTAAAAGATGTTGAAAGCTCTTCACATGAAAGTTCTGATTGCTCCATCCCCACCTTCCTGAGTCCTGCTTGCTCTGAACTTGGTGGGGAACAGCTCTGGGCAGGCCTAAACCCTGCCACCAAGGGTTTGGCCACCCACACCCTCCCCCTGGTCCTTTAGCCTGGGAACTCCAGTCAGGTCCCAGGCATCCTCTTCTCCCAACCCTCTTCTGGGGCCTCCTCCACTTCTGCACAGAGCCAAAGCCCAGCCACACCTGCTCCAAGCTCTATAGGGGCAAATCAAGCCGAGGTGACCCCACAGGCAAGCTCCAAAAAGACCCCCTCTTTTCTCTGCACACTTGCTCATCCCCACTTGTGTGCACACAATAAGCCAGCTCACCTGTTGGATGACTCTCCAAAACTCAGAGAGTGCAAGAGGCCATGAAAGCATCCCCCATTTGCAGTGGGGCCCAGCTGAAGTGAAGGTAAAAGTCTGTGGGCTCCCTCCTCTGGCTTTGGGGAGACAGGCCAAGGAGGGTGTGACCAGACAGACAAGTTCTGCACCCTACCCTATTTAGGACAAAACTGTCATCCTGCTCCCTTTACAAGGTGGCTACAAAACAGGATCTCCTGTTCGCAGGGGCGGGTGCGTATTGGGATTTGCGTGGGTTTTGTTGTTCTTAAAATGCAGGGGTATCTGACTGGCCTCATTTGAAGAGCTGATAACCCATCTCTGGGGCCCCTTCAGCCTCGATGCAACCCTCGCCTCTTGGCTCGAATGTCATGATGAGCCCTGAGTGGAGACTCTCAGGAATGGGCAAGGCTCTACAGGGCGTGTGTCCACACGCCATGCTTTTGAGACATTGGTTAGAGGGCAGTAGGTCATCCTTGGACCTCTAGGTCACAAGCTGGTGTTCTTGAGCCCTATGCTGCTGGGTCATGGATGGGCTGGACCAGGTAGCCAGGAGGACATTGCAGAGCCTCTGATTAAATGTGTCATTTTGACCTTGGGTGCTTACGCAGGCTCTGGAGGGATGTTTTCATCTTGTTGTCTCTGTTGCTTTGCTGCCTGATGGGGAAGGTGATCTGTGAGGCTTTTGTCCCCTTTAGTTGGACTCCAGATCTCAGGTGAGGTGGGGAGTTGGAAAATCCTCCCAGAGAAGGAAAATTGAATCTACACAAGTGAATGAGTAGGAAAGATAAGAAAGGAGTCCCCATGGCCCCTCAAGGCTAAGGGAGCAGTGAGGAATGTGGTCTGCAAGACCAGGGACATCCTCCCTCAGATGACTCCCATGGGTGGCTGAGAGGCTGGAAAGGAATATTTAATGCAGTGTTGTTGGTCAAGCAAAAGACTAAATGCAAATTAAGTATCCAACAGTAGGTGTCTGGCTGAGCAAATCCCAGGTCTTTCATGTGATGGAATAGTAACTGATTGTTTAAAGTGAAGACAATCTGTTAGTGCCAAGAGGGCCTTGTTACAAATATTGGTAATTGTGGGGAGCAAGATGGTGTCTGGGGTTAAGTGTGCTGTTGTTTTTATTTCCATTTTAAATAGTTGTGTGTCTGCACAGGATATTTCTGAAAAATATGTAAGACACTGGAAGGTGGTTGTTTCTGGTGGGTGAAACTGAAGGATGAAAGAGGGGACAGGAAAGCCCTTTTATACCACTTCAGTTTTTAAAAACAGTTCAAAATCTAAATGCAGGAAGTGAGCATCTCAATTTTTTTTTTTATCCCTAGCAGCTCAGTACAATGCAGATTCCTGGGCCCCACCTCAAGGAGGATTCTGTTTCAGATGAGCTGATGTGGGATATAGGAATCTACATTCCTTTACTAAGTTCTCAGGGTGATTTAGATGCTGGTAGTTCTCAGATGGCTGGGGAGGCATTTGTTCCAGAGCCCCCCAGGTAGGTGTGCTTAGACTTCAGAAAGTGGAAGGGAGACTTTGGATTCTGAGCATGTGGGAAGAACAGGGAGACTGTCCACAGAATCTTCTGGGGAAGGCTGGTCAATCAGAAACTACCAGAAAGAAATGCCTGTTTATTGAGCACTTGGTGTGCACCAGACTTTCTGCTAATGCTGATTGAATGCTTACAACCGCCACATCGTACAAATTAGGAAACTAAGGTTCTCAGAAGGAAATCCCTCACTCAAAGCCTTGAGGCCTTAAGTGGCAGAGCTGGAATCTGGGAGAGCCCAGGAGCCCTAGCTCTCCACCACTGTGTGCTGCCTTTAGGGTGATTGGATAAGGTTTCCCCTCTTTGAAGTCATGCCCAAGGGCTCCTCACCAAAGATGAGGCTGTTAGTACCTGGGACAGGGGGCAATCAGAGACCCCAAAGCTCTACTCACTGGCTCCCAAAACACTGCACAGTGGGCCAAGTGCATATGGTCGTTAGCCTCGTGGGCTTTGGAATCAACTGTCTTTATTTAAATCCCGTTTCCACCTCTTACTGCCTGTGTGATCTTCTCTGTGTCTCAATGTACTTCTCTCTAAAGTGTGATGGACTGACGAAAACTGTGGTTACCAGCAACAGAGCCAACTCAAACATGATAAAGCAAAAAAGAGACTGTACCAGCTTATGTGCTTAAGACTAGGAGATAGGACAAGATTTAGGCACTGCTCTATGCAAGCACTTGGACACCCTCATCAGGAATCTCTATCACCTGTCTACGTTTCTGCATTGCTGTCATTCTCAAGCCATCTACTACTTTGTGGGAACAAAAATGGTTCACTCCTCCGCACAGCTCCAGCTTTTGGTCAGAAACAGTTCCAGAGTTGATGCTCACTGTGTCTGACTGGCCCCACTTTAGGGCACAGGGCAGCCCTGCCAGTCGTGTCCAGGAGAGGAGTTTCTGACTGGCCAGGCCTAGGTCACATGCTCATACATGGAGCTAAGCAGTGGGGTCAGCCCCACCCAGAACACACAGACTGGTTCTCAGGAACCAGGGGTGTGGGTGCTAGGCAGGCAGGAGCAGCAGGTGTGCGCTGCCTGGGGCTGTGATGCTGCCCTCCTCTACTTCTGCCCAACCTGGCATATACACGCACTCTGTTAGACAATTTTGTTCTTGTCATTCCTCATCTTGTAGCAATCCAACCAGAAGAAGCTGCTAAATATCAGCTCTGACCTTCATGCCACTGAGGGGCACAGTGTGTCCCCAGAGCACACCCTCAGGTCACCTTTTGTTGACTCAGCAGCCATGTCCTGAGCTCACAGACTCCCAGCCACGAAGTCCACCAGATCTTTTGCCTGGTGGTCCTGAAAGTTCCCTGGGCTCCAGGCTACTCCGGAGAGTCAGCGAGGACTGGCTCAGTGGGGCATGAGGGCTTCCAGGCCGAGTACTCTGAGCTGAGCTCCCATGGCTGCTGGAATTTCATGAACACAGCCCCCTCCTCGGCCTCGGAGCCCCCTCCCTGCCACACTGCAGGCTCAGTGGAGAATGCCAGCCCAGCCTGCCGACCTGCCAGCCTGGTCTAGGGGGAGTCACAGGCTGTTCTACATCTATTTCAAGGTTCTGGATTTTGTGGCTTTTTTTTTTTTTTCCAACCACCCTGCAAAGTAGGTCACCTGCTCCTCTTCCAGCTGTCTTTGAGCTTCAGAACAAGACAGATACTATCCTTAATCCTAAAGGCATCTGCCTTGCTGGCCTGAGTACTGGCTAAGGGACGCTGAGCCAGTCTGTGGAGGACAGACTTGAGGACTGGGTCAGGGAGAAGGAAGAGGAAGGGAAACGAACAGAGAGGATGAAGAGGGGAGAGGAGATGAAGTCAAGTGGTCGGGCAGGTGGAACCCCTGTGTTTGGCCCTGTCCTGGTTGAGGACTCAGAGCTACTAAGTTTCAGACCAATTTAAAGGGTATCTACTCCACCTTTAAAATAGGCCAACAGTTCAGATGGGGCCAAGGAAACCCATCCAGTGTTACGAGGCAGCAGGTGACAGGCATGTGTGCAGGCATGTGTCCAGGGCCTTTCTGAATAACAAAGTTTCTCTTCCTAGGGGATGGCCAGAGACCTATGACATGAGTACCTCGGAGCCAAAACCTGAGTTGGACAGCTTGCCCCCTGGGGGGCGGCCCCCCTACCGTAGCAACGCACCCTGGCAGTGGAGCGGGCCTGCCTCCCACAACTCTCTACCAGCCTCCAAGTGGGCCACTCCTCCTACCCCTGGCCATGCCCAGTCCCTGAGCCGACCCTCAAAGCAGACCCCCATGGTCCCCTTTCGGGAGTCCCAGCCCCTGCACAGCAAGAGGTAAGTATTGGTAAGGGGCATCACTCCCAGCCCCTACCTCCCTCCTCTCCTTTTCTCTGTCCTTCTCTTTTTTTCCAGAGTCTTCTCAAACTTTTGCCTTTCCTTCTTGTCCTGTGTTTCCCTTCCTCCCTGTTTCCCTCCCTTCCTCTCTCCTTGTCTTCCTTCCCTTCTGCTTTTATTCTGAGCCTCTCGTGTGAGGGCCTGGTGCTGGGAGCTCAGTGTCTGAGGTAGACATCCACTATACCATGTATGATTAAAAGTATATATTTTTTAAAAGGTCAGGGGACCAGTAAGCACAAAATAGAATATGATGACTTCTTGGGGGAGTCAGGGAAGTGGGAAGTGAAGAAGCCCACAAGTGTATAGGTATTGTATACCTTACAGATAAATTCTTTTGAATATATTATATATTAAAAGGTAAAGAAAAATTACCAAAAAATGAAGGAATCCAACCTGCAGAGGAGGATCCAGGAATGGGTGGGAGCAGCCTTCTACTCTGGGCAGCCCCTATCAGGGCCACAGCAGCTGAGGGTCAGGAAGGCGGAAGTGGGGGGCGGGGTGGGGGCGGGCCAAGAGTCTCCCCAGCTTCCTGCTGCCCTTTGCTCAGCAGCCCTCTTTCCATCCCTGCAGGAGGAAAGCAGATGAAAGGTCTGACCCACTTGTCCTCACTCACCCCACCTCCTTCCTCTCTTGTCTCTGTTCCAGGCCTGTTAGCTTCCCAGAAACCCCTTACACAGCATCACCAGCAGGGGTCGACAAAGCCGCTCCCTACCGGCAGCCTTCTGGGAGCTTTTCCACTCCTGGCTCAGCCACCTATGCAAGATACAGGCCATCCCCAGAAAGGTCAGAATCTCTTCATTCTTTTCAAATTAAGGAATCTGGTGAAAGCTGGGGATTCTTCTTACCCAGGAAATACACATACCCTATAAGTTTACTGCGATTTTATGGGGTTTCTGGTTCCCTGCAGGTCATCAGAGGACCTCCAGGAGAATTGTCTGTGTCTGTTAAGATTTAGGGCCAAGCTAGCCTGAGCAGGACTTGCATTGGCTTATCTTGCAGCAGAGTTTTAGTTGACACTTTCTTGACACTTTTATAACTTGTTTGAGCAAAACCATTAGCCTTCCAGCATGGCCATTTATCTGCCTCTCTGAGCTGCTCCCCAAAACCAGGCTACCTTCATTACCCAGTTTGGTTTGTTTGTTTTTAATATTTTATTTATTTATTTTTAGAGAGAGGGGAAGGGAGGGAGAAAGAGAAGGAGGGAAACATCCACGTGCGAGAGATACATCGATCAGCTGCCTCTCACACACCCCCAACTGGGGATCTGGCCTGCAACCCAGGTATGCGCCTTGACTGGATATCACACCAGCGACCTTTCTGTTCACAGAACAGCACTCAGTCCACTGAGCTACACCAGCCAGGGCCGTTACCCAGTTTTCATAGCCTCTCAGGCTTCAGTCCTGCTCCCTTGGATCCTTCCCCAATCTGGTAGCCTGAGGGATCATCCCAACTCCTCCATGGCTCCCTAGTGCCCTCAGGGTAAACCCAAGTTCTGTAGCTACTTCAGCCTCAGTGCCCTGTGCCCTTCCTCCTCCAGGGTTCCGGGGACCCCGACCTCTCCCTTGTTAACAGGCTGGGTTCATGGGCCTCATCCTGAATGTCTCCCTTTGTTCTCTCCCTTACTGCTGTTCATCCATTCAGCCTTCTAAGCATCTCTGCTCCCATCCCCTCCTCCTATTCTCACTACCCCGCGCTTGCCATTTCTCTGACCACCCAGCCTCTGTCTCACTTCCTCTGGTTCATCCTCCACTCAACAGCAAGGGATAATCTTTCTGTATCTGGCCATATCTGCCCTTTGCTCCAGTGTCTTAGAGCCCTCAGAACACAGCCGCAGTGCCACACGTCATCCTCACTGTTTTCTTAGGTAGGCCTGTCTGCATTTCAGTTCTCATGTTCTTCCTCCATCTAGAAATCCTTCACACTCTTTACCCTCACATCCCACCCTTTCCTGCCAACCTGAGCATTGATGCTGCTCCTCCAGGATGCCTTCCCTGAACCTCCCCCAGTCATAGGTGCTACCACTCTGCCACTTAGTTCCCTATGCATTTCCTGACCTTGAGCACTCTCCATTATATTAGCCCAGTTGAGAGAGAGAGAGCGCACTCTCCAAATCTAAGACCTTCCCAGTTCATCTATTATTATCACACAGCACAGGTTCTGGCACATGGTAGATTTTTGGTATATGTTTGATGAAAGATTGGAGTGAGTGAGTGAGTTTGCTTAAATAAGATCACATACCAAGACCAAGGATCAGTCCACTAAGCTAGTGGGTCCGAATCTTTACTATGTCTCAGAATCACCCAGAAGGAGTGCTTATTAAAACACAAATTACTAGGCCTTTCCCCAAGTTTCCAACTTGGTGGGTCTGGAGTAGAACATGGGATACCAATTCTGCTGATCCAGGGAACACACTGTGAAAGCCACTGAACTAAACCGTTGTTTGATTATAAATATGTGCTATAAAATTGGGGAAAACATACTTTTTTCCATCACAAATGCTGAAGCAAATGGTCCCAGGAGCCTTCTGTGTGCCAGGTGCAGGGAGAACTATTTGAGATCCTCACTTACCAGGGACCTCATTGCCAGTGCCCCTGGCTGTGATGGAGAGGTCTTAGAACCAATGTGCACCATAATGCGCGCTCTAATAGACTCAGGGGAGGACAGTCCAGCCCCAGAGGTCTAGGTTGGCTGCCTAGAGGAAGTGACATTTGAATGGAGCTTTGAGAGATTAGGAGTTTGCCACAGAGAGGAGGGAGAAAGTCATTCCAGACAGGGCAAAGGCCACAGATATGCGTAAGCAGGATGATATGGAACGCAGGAGGTGTCAGCAGAAGTCATGTGACACAGGCTGTGGGAGTGGGGGCACCTCAGTGGCAGCCATAGCTGAGGCTGGAAATGGCGCAGTTGATGTGGAGCAGTGAGTCAACAGAGGCAGTGGGGATGATGTTACTGATGGCATCGGGGAGCATCAAAGTCTTGGTGTCCCCCCACCTTTATTATTCTTGTTTTTAAACTTTTTATTGGAAATAATTATAGATTCATAAGAGGTTGAAAAGAAATGCACAGGGAACTCCTTCACTCAGCTTCCCTTAGTGTTAACATCTTACATAACTGGGCTATAATAATCAAAGCAAGACATTGACATTGGTACAATCCTTAGGGTTTCTTCCAAATTCACCAGTTATACATGTACTCATATGTGTATATGTGTAGCTCTCTGCAATTTTATCACTGTGTGGTTATTGTGTAACTACCACCACTGGTAATACACTCAACTATACCATCACCATAAAATTCCCTCCTTCTATCCTTTTATAGCCACCCATCCCCTCAACCTCAGGCAACCATTAATCTGTTCTGCATCTCTTTAATTATTGTTATTTTATAAATATTGTATATAAGGAGTCATACAGTATGGATCTTTTTGACATTCCTTTTCACTCAACATAATTTCCTTGAAGTTCATCTAAGTTGTTGCATGTATCAATAGTCAATCCTGATTATTGCTGAATTATATTCCATGGTATGAAAATACTATCACTTATATAGCCATTCACCCATTGAAGGATAATTGGGTAGTCTATGGGTTTGGGCTATTATGTTCATGCCCTGAGCATGCATGAAAATAAGTTTTCCTTTCTCTGGAATAAATGCCCAACAATACAGTTGCCTGCCAAGATATGAAGACAACCTAAATGTCTGTCAACAGATGAATGAATAAAGAAAATGTGGCATATAGGCACAATGGAATATTATTTGGCCATAAAAAAGGAAATGCTGCCATTTATAACCGCACAGATGAACCCGAAAGGCATTATGCCAAATAAGTTAGACAGAGAAAGACATACACTGTATGGTATCACTTCTGTGCGGAATTTTTTTTAAAAAATGGAACTCATAAAAGCAAAGAAAATAAAGTGGTAGTTGCCTGGGGGTGGGGGAAATGGGGAGATTTTGCTCAAAGGGTACAGAGTTTCAGTTATGAGATTAATAGGTTCTGAGATGGACAGCATGGTGGCTATAGTTAATAATTCTGTACACTTGAAGTCTGCTAAGTGAGTAGATCTTAAGCATTCTCACCCCAAAAAAAGTTAACTATGTGAGATGATAAATGTGTTAATTAACTTGATTGTGGAAATCATTTCACAGTGCATATGCATACCAACTCATCATGTTGTATGCTTTAAATATATTACAATTTTGTCAGTTATACTTCAAAGCTGGGAGGAGATGTTTCGAGAATGCTACTTGCTCAGCAAATTTCAAACAGTATTAAATCAGTGAATGGGTGTGCTGACTATTCTGTATCGCTTGTAGGGGAAGTATTTGGGGGGGGGGCGGAAAGCAGTCACTTTATTGTGTGATAAGTCCATTTATAGATTTTTTTTAATTTTCTATTTATTGATTGGAGGGGGGGTAGAGAGAGAGAGAGAAACATCAATTTATTGTTCTACTCGTTTATGCATTCATTGGCTACTTTTTGTATGTGCCCTGACCAGAATTCAAACCCTTAACCTTGGCGTATTGGGATGACGCTCTAACTAACTGAGCTACCCAGCCAGAGTTCCATTTCTAGTTTTAAAAGGAACTGCCAAACTATTTTCCAGAGTGACTGTACTATTTTACATTCCCACTGGCAGTGTATGAGTGATCCAGTTTCTCCACATCCTCACCACCATTTGATGTCATCACTGTTTTTTATTTTAATCATTCTGATAGGTTTGTAATGATACCTCATTGTGATTTTAATTTGCATTTCGCTAATGGCTAATGATATTGTATACATTTCCATGTGCTTATTTGCCAACTGTATCTCTTCAATGAAATGTCTTTTCCCCATTTTCTAATTAGATTCAATGCTTTTTCAATGTGGGAGTATTCCTTTTTTTTTTTTTTTTTTTTAAGATTTTATTTATTTTTATAGAGAGAGGAAGAGAGGGAGAGAAACATCAATCAGTTGCCTCTTGCACACCCTCAGCCAGGCACCTGGCCCAAAACCCAGGCAAGTGCCCTGACCAGGAATTGAATTGGCGGCCTTTCAGTTTGTAGGACAAGACCCAACCCACTGAGCAACACCAGTCAGAGCAAATTCTTTACTTATTCTAGATACAAGTCCTTTGTCAGATAGGTGATTTGCAAACATTTCTTCCCAGTCTTCATTTTGTCTTTTCATCTTGGTAACAGGGTCTTTTGCAGAATTAAAGTTTTAATTTTGATGAGGTCCCGAAACTATCTATCATTTTTTTTCCTTCTGTGGATTATGCTTTTGGTATAAAGTCAAGAATTCTTTGCCTAGACCTCGACCCTGAAGATATTCTTATGTTTTTTTCCAGAAGTTTTATATTTTACATTTAAGTCCATGATCCATCTTGAGTTAATTTTTGTATGAAGTAAGAGGTTTAGGTTGAAGTTCCTTTTTTTTGCCTACAGATGTCCAGTTTCCTCCACCATTTACTACAAAGGCTTCATCTCCTCCATTGCACCACTTTTGCTTCTTAAAGCAAAAATTCATTGGAAGGGGAAATTAATTGGGTACATTGACATGTATCTATTTCTGGGTTCCCTAGTCTATTCCATTGATCTATATACATGATCTCAGTGAGTGTTCGCAGCAACTCCACAAGGTAAGATAGTTGAATTATTCCATTTTACAGGGGGAACCTGAGGTTTAATGAGATGAATGCACGTGGTCAAGGTCACTCTTCTAGGAAGCAGCAGAGTCAGGACAGGAACTCAGGCCTGTATGATTCCAGAGGACTGGCCCAGACCCCAAACTCTCCTTC